TGGGAGTCTAATTTTTGCGATTAAACTAACCTTCGTCCCACGTTTCGCCCTCTAGAGGTCTAATTTTTATCAAAAATTTCTTTCCGTGTTCCGAAGCGAAATGCGATTGTAGCAAATTTTGCGGAACTGTCACGTAATTTTTACCTAAAATCACCGAATTTTTCCAGAACGTTCCGCAATTTTTAAGTCACTTAAATTTTCTGAGTCGATTCCGTAATCGGTGACCGAACTGTGAGTTCCGTAATTTTTACTGAACATTTTTCTCCGTACAAGGTAAATTTTACAATTTTGGTACAAGCTGCCCTCATATTTAGTAAATGTTCCCTAACCAAGGAAGAAAAATTCAATATTTGTCTGGCACATTTTTTCCGATATAGGATAAAAAACACCTAAAAACGGATTTCGCTCTCCAACAACTTGGCTTGTTCACTAATTTTTCGCCATTTTTTTTCTCCATGTAGTAGCATTTGACAACGTTCAAAACACTTTTACCGCGACATTTCTTCGAAATAATTTCATTAAAAAAAATCGAAGCACTTGATAATAGCAAATTTTTCACTAAAAAAAATCTGTATTTTTCCCCGTTGATGGGTCAAAAAAGTTTCAGATTCGTGTCACTATTTCTCACAGAGCTAGATTCTTTCCATATTTTGCATAAGAACACATGTTAATTCCTTTATCAATCGTCTCCTGCACGAGGTACCTCACCAGCTTGAAGCTTTTACTGAACTGTTTCTAACATAAAATCTACATAATCCATGTATTTCATCTTCTTGACACAAAAACCCTTAATAATTTCTCACCGACACAATAAGAATGATCTTCTCTATTAGATCACTACATGACAATTAATGTCTCAATGGCAAATTACCTAAAAAACTAATCGCAAATCATTTCCATTAATTAATAATTCAAATTTTGTCCAATTGATAAATGAATCAAAATTAATGGCTCAATCATCAATTGATTGACTGCACGGAAAAAAACTAGACAATATTCACTCAATTGTTTTCCAATTCCCCCTTTTTTTTATTTCCTCATGACATATTCCGCACTGGTATTCGGCATGAAAAAATATCCGGATTGGTGAATTTCACGGTTATACTCGGCGTGTTAAATAATGGCAGTAAAACGAGCGTATCCGCCCTCTATTTCTCCCATTTTTTTCAACTCGGCTAGTTGATCTCGCAGATGGGTCGTTAATCTTCGGGAATCGATTCATTGTATTTTTATGATGCTCACACTATGTCCTCCCCACACCCACAAACTCGTCATATTAGGGTGCGTGCCCCTCCTCCCCCTTGACGCCCTGTTTTCATGGATTTCATTTCACACGAATCGCACATCTTCCGGTCTCTTTCTCACATCACGAATGAGAAACCAGCAAAAAAACAAACGTCAACCGAATGGATGTGAGATCTCTCTTTCTGAGACGATAGTTCTAAACTTAGCAACAGGAATGACGACGCTGCCGACCGCAGTTGTGGACCCCAGTGTTGGAGTGAAATAATTAGCTAAAGGCTTGAGTGTTATTTCCCCACCCGTCGGAACGCTACAAAAACTATTGGAACATTTGGGGAATCACACGAGGCAATTTCGAGTGAGTTAATTGAGAATAAGCGGTTAGAGGGATGGACGATCGCTTAATGATGCCATGAAAAAAAAATTCCGGTGGTTTTATTACTAATTAAGTGATGATGAATCATGGCGTATCAACGAAAAAATCGGAAGAACTTGTTCTATCATTAGGGATTAAATAAAAGGTCGCGGTAAACTTGCTCAAGTTGATTGAGTATTGAATATCCATCTTGTCTTCACTTATCAAAATTTGAATCACTGAAAAATGTGATTGGTAAAACGTACACTGAGAGAAAAAATTACTTTTAACAAAGATGATTTCCTTGATACACTATTAAGAATTTTCGTCTCAATTTTCCGTGTGAAATCCCGGAAATTTTTATCATGTTTAATTTCCATTGAAACTTCAGGAAATCTCGTGCATGAAAAACCAAATATTCGATTGATTTTTAGCTTGAATTATCAGAAAATCCATAGAATATTTGATTTTTCAGTTTAATTATTTCGCAAAAATTTGCCAAAATCAAGAAAATTTACGGAAAAATTGAAAATTCATATCATTCTGTTTCTGAATATTCATGTTGTCTTGCAAATTCTATCAAGATGTGAAATTTCTGTCTGACTTCCACTGAAAAATCATGAATTTCCTTGAATTCTCAGTAAAACTTGAAATTGTATCACCATGTTCCCTCTAAATCGGATTCAATGTCACTTTCATGAGAATTACTACCAGAATCGCCATGAAATTTCACGTCAATGTCAGTTTCCATCTAATTAGTTCAGAATATCAAGGGGAAGACCGAAATTCCAAAATGAGAAAAATTGACATCACATGACGATCATTTTCGTCTGACCAGACGGACTACAAAACGTCATTTCGCATGCCAACTTGGGACTGGTCTACGGTTTGCCACTTCACAATTGACCTAGTACCCACCACCTGTGATCAATTCAACGCTTCAGTATAGCGAAGCGGTAAAACGTTTCAAGTTGACTTAATTCTCAGCTGAATTTTCCAACAAATATCTCCGAATCTAAGGAAGCTACCCGAGTCGAATATCTAGACCTTATTCCCCCCTATTACCTCCTCGAGTCGAATATCTGAACCTTATTCTCCCCTATTACCTCCTCGAGTCGTATATCTGGACCTTATTCCCCCTTATTACCTCCTTGAGATATTTTTTCCTCCTTTCTTCATCCTATACATCCTGAATAACTCCTTATATGATCCTGCCTCATCCTAAAGGCGTAAAAACCCTTCTCAACTCATACTTTTGTCCCGCTTCTCCTCTTGTCGAATGAAAAGGAATCATAAATCCCCTGAATTACCCCTGATAGCCAGGATGATTGAGTAGCTCACTATTTTGTTCATTTCTGTTTGCGGTGAAAATTACTGAAATTCCCACCCTTATTTTTGACTGTCGTTTCTGACCGTTATTTTTGACCCTCATATATGACGCTTGAGTATGACCTTAATTTTCACCCGTACTTCTCATGTGAATAATTAAAAATAAAAAAAAATACCTCGAAAGGGTTTGTAGGTTCTTTCCAGGAGGGATGGAGTGGAAAACATTTTAGGGGGTGCCTNAATCATGGCGTATCAACGAAAAAATCGGAAGAACTTGTTCTATCATTAGGGATTAAATAAAAGGTCGCGGTAAACTTGCTCAAGTTGATTGAGTATTGAATATCCATCTTGTCTTCACTTATCAAAATTTGAATCACTGAAAAATGTGATTGGTAAAACGTACACTGAGAGAAAAAATTACTTTTAACAAAGATGATTTCCTTGATACACTATTAAGAATTTTCGTCTCAATTTTCCGTGTGAAATCCCGGAAATTTTTATCATGTTTAATTTCCATTGAAACTTCAGGAAATCTCGTGCATGAAAAACCAAATATTCGATTGATTTTTAGCTTGAATTATCAGAAAATCCATAGAATATTTGATTTTTCAGTTTAATTATTTCGCAAAAATTTGCCAAAATCAAGAAAATTTACGGAAAAATTGAAAATTCATATCATTCTGTTTCTGAATATTCATGTTGTCTTGCAAATTCTATCAAGATGTGAAATTTCTGTCTGACTTCCACTGAAAAATCATGAATTTCCTTGAATTCTCAGTAAAACTTGAAATTGTATCACCATGTTCCCTCTAAATCGGATTCAATGTCACTTTCATGAGAATTACTACCAGAATCGCCATGAAATTTCACGTCAATGTCAGTTTCCATCTAATTAGTTCAGAATATCAAGGGGAAGACCGAAATTCCAAAATGAGAAAAATTGACATCACATGACGATCATTTTCGTCTGACCAGACGGACTACAAAACGTCATTTCGCATGCCAACTTGGGACTGGTCTACGGTTTGCCACTTCACAATTGACCTAGTACCCACCACCTGTGATCAATTCAACGCTTCAGTATAGCGAAGCGGTAAAACGTTTCAAGTTGACTTAATTCTCAGCTGAATTTTCCAACAAATATCTCCGAATCTAAGGAAGCTACCCGAGTCGAATATCTAGACCTTATTCCCCCCTACTACCTCCTCGAGTCGAATATCTGAACCTTATTCTCCCCTATTACCTCCTCGAGTCGTATATCTGGACCTTATTCCCCCTTATTACCTTCTTGAGATATTTTTTCCTCCTTTCTTCATCCTATACATCCTGAATAACTCCTTATATGATCCTGCCTCATCCTAAAGGCGTAAAAACCCTTCTCAACTCATACTTTTGTCCCGCTTCTCCTCTTGTCGAATGAAAAGGAATCATAAATCCCCTGAATTACCCCTGATAGCCAGGATGATTGAGTAGCTCACTATTTTGTTCATTTCTGTTTGCGGTGAAAATTACTGAAATTCCCACCCTTATTTTTGACTGTCGTTTCTGACCGTTATTTTTGACCCTCATATATGACGCTTGAGTATGACCTTAATTTTCACCCGTACTTCTCATGTGAATAATTAAAAATAAAAAAAAATACCTCGAAAGGGTTTGTAGGTTCTTTCCAGGAGGGATGGAGTGGAAAACATTTTAGGGGGTGCAGGCGATAAATAGGTTTAACACACCTCCTGTTTTTCTCCTGAACCCTCGGAATTTGGAAATAACTCGCACGTTCAGGCGGAAACTAGGGGGTCTTTCTGAATGTAAATACACCCTAACTTCATCCTGGTCCTCCTACTCATGATAGGTGTTCAAGGGGGAATTCAGGTCCTAATATTCGACTCGGGTATCGAAATTATTGTAATGAACTATTTCATAGCACTCAATTCCCTCTACAAAAAAGTTTCATCAAAGATTTTACTATCTGCCTTAGATTCTTTGATATTAATTGAAAACTGACCAGGGTTCTGAATCGACTTTAACCGTTTTACCGCTGCGCCAGTGGATTCTACTCATCAATCCAAAAAATTACCTTCATGAACACTTCCAGTTCTCCTCCTCCTCCTCCTCCTATGCTGAATTCTCTCATGAATCCTATCATGAACCCGTCCGCCGGTGAACTTATTAGGATCAAGAATATTTTCCACCGAAAACGCAAGTCCCCTCTTGCTCCCCGTCACCGCACCGGCCGTATTACTGATACAATGACCCCCATTATTACTCCTAGACAAGTGCCCCCCCACATTGCAAATGGAGGACCCCATGGAACCAGTTGCATGTCCACCCATGAAGCCCCCACCGGCCGTCGCTGAATTTCCAATAACACTAGCACCATTAACAACATCACCATGGATTCCCCCAGCAGTCTGTAAACACGCGAGAGCATGAACATTGATACTGCGATTAACAAAAGGATGAAACTGATCGCTGGAGCTCCTCGAAGAAGCTGTCAGATCAACCGGACTGCTGGGATTGCTGTCGGGCTCGCGACAGACATCGACCTCGATCTCCTCATCATCCTGATAGTTGCCATTCTGCTCCGCATGATGACCCTCCTCCTCGTCCTCCCCATTCTCCTCCCTGCCGATTCTCCTGCTCCCATTGCGATTCACGACATCCTCAACATTATCCAAATCACCATCGTCCTCATCCTCCGACTCGTCATCGTCACTCCTCTCATTAACCGACACACTCTCCTCACAATGTTTTCCCCTCCCGCCCTCGTCATCCTCATCCATCGCCCCAATAGTATCGTCAATCGGCGTGGCCACGGCAACCCCTGACGAACGCATTTGTTGCTTATCGTAACTGACAAATGTCTCACCAGTCCTCACGTGCAACAACACACGTCTCCTCTCCTGATGGGGCACCACCGCCCGCAGATTGACTTCCTCACCTAAACACGCTACCGGTCCAATTTCAGCGAGGGGTGACAGTGTTCTACCCTCCTGCATCCTCCACATCACTGACCCCCCGTGTGGTGCCCGAGAATACCACTTGGTCCTGTTGGCTTGCCCCGGCTACTCTCACAGATCACATCCGGCTGATTCAACAACACAATCAACGATGCCGACTCAACAATTACAAAAACAATTCACAAATCACAGAACTATATCTCAAACATTAACATCCGAACACACAAGTACATCTGGCTCCTTCCCGAAGATAAGTGGGACGGAGCGTGGGAAATTCGCCAATAATGCTCGTGTCACATGTGACAATCTCACTAATAACCAAATCCAATCACAAACAAAAACCATTTGAATATTCTTCATCCACTCAGTAGCTCCACCAAGTTGCAACAGGACAACACAATCCCTCGATTTCTATAGACTACCATGATACCACAGAAGATACAGCCATACGAGATATAAACGTCAGTATTATTAGGCACCCGAGATACTCTACCCGTGGCTATCTACGATACGTTTGAGCATGGGGTTTGTCCAACAAACAGAGGAGGGAGAACACGACGGAGAGGGTTCGTCGGATCTCTAGAATTGTGGGCGGAGCTGGTAGTTGTGGCGGAGCCTCTGTTACCGAGGGAAAAGCACGTTAAACGCTCGACCAATGGGCGACTCCGACTGGCCCCCTGGCCCCCGCACCCCCCCTGCCCACTTCAACCCTCGTGAAGAGCATTTCAACACAGTCAAAACACCCACACTGACGACCAGACCAACGATATCTCCAACACACTCGTGAAATAGCTGTTTGCATCGGTTAAGGGAGAGAGGAAAATACGGGGTAAACGTAAAGGGGGATAACGAGATGGATGCGCACGCGCATTTCCTATCGCACACGCGGTTTCCTCCGAACCTATTACCCGACAACACAACGAAACGTTTAATGCCTCCACCACTTGCGTGGGGGCGGAAGGAGGAGGAGGGGGAGTACCTCGTGGAGTTTGTACACACACGAAGTACTCCGTGGGTTGGGGAAGGTAGGGCAAAATGGACCAGGCGGGCAAAATAGACCCCTTGAAGAAAACGAGGTACTTTTTTTTCATAATAGTTTTATTAATATTAATGTTTTATTAATGTTATTAATGTTTTAGTAATATTAATTTGTGATGCTTAATCTGACCTTTGTGACCCTTAATGTGATCCCTGTGACCCTTATTCAGACTCTTGTCAGCCTTATTTGGAGCTTTGTTCTGACCCTTGTGACCCTCAATCTGATTTTCGTGACCCTTATTTTGACCCGCGTGAACCTGAAACCCCTATTCTGATCCTCATGATCAGTGTTTTGACCCGTGTGACCTTTAATTTTGGAGTCTTATTTTCGAGTGCTAAATTTTGATCACCAGAAGTCGATATGGACTTTTATAATATAAACAGATTTGTCATTTATTGTGAAAATAAATATGATAAATACTGTGGAATAAAAAGAGAATCAACAGGAGTGTGATTAGAAACAACCGTAATTTCCATATTAATTTCCGATATATAGAAATTTCAGAAATAAGAGAAAGAAAATCTTCGACCTCCCACACTCACAGCATGATTTTTATCATCTAAAAAGTACGTAAAAATAAGAGAATAATCAAGTTAAAAATTCAATAATTGAACGCATTTTCAAATAACAATAATAATTCATTTCTGTTAAGCATTATAGGCAATCGTCACACTCAAATTTAAAATCATCTGGATTAATCCACACACATAATGAGTTCATCTTAGGTACATTTCACACTGCACCGAGAGAAATATTCAGTAAAAATTACGGAACTCACAATTCACTCACTGATTACGGAATCGACTCAGAAAATTTAAGTGACGGTATCGTAAAATTTTCACAGGTGATTCAGACAAAAATTACGGAACGCTCCGAAAAAATTCCGTGACAGTTCCGTAAAATTTCCCACAACCACTTTTCTCTGTGGAATTACGGACAGGATATGTAATTTTTATTGAATATTTCTCTCCGAGTGAATCCACTCTCTGGAACTCTCGCGAAGAGACAGGTTGACTAAAATTTCGAAGAATTTCATAACCCAAAAAATAAGGAAGCCCATTTCGCTCCAGGGGTCCGCTTAGCCCTTCCGACCATTTTGCCCGCATGGTCTATTTTGCCCTACCCTCCCCGACGGATACAACCAGAGAGGCTTGAAATCGCACCACTTACTCCTGCACCAGCCCACCCACCTCCTCACCGATTTTCTCGAGACGTGTGTGTAGGATACACTCGAGTATGTACACAAAATTCCCTTTCACAGCCCCCTCTCGTAATCATTCCCCTCTCCCCACCCCCCGTCGCCATCTACCAACAGGAGTCACTCTCTCTCTTACGTTACCAGCGATTGGACTCGGGCTAAAGTGGTTTGTCTTTGATTTAGCCAACGTGCCGTTACCACCACCATATCATCCCTCCATCGTTCTCCCACCTCTCAGTTTGGTGTACTGCCGTGGGAATAACCCTCCCGATTTTGTGACGTACACGAAATTTAACGGAGAAGAGATTTTACCGATAGGTTGCGCTCCATTGTGAATGCATATATACGAGGCAAAATCTCGTGGTTACTCTATTGCTTGGCAAAGTGCGGAGGGCGGGAGGGGGCTGGAGCACTAGCACGTTTTACTCTCAACTCTGTGGATATTGTTTACCTCACCATTTAGGTAATTGCCGGGCAACCAGCGAGCAGACGAAGGGGGTGAGCCGGAGGGTATTATCTCGGTGGGATTAAATCAAACAGTGTTTAATATCAATTATCTGGGTTCGATTATGATGTTTCGGGGGAGAAGGTCAGGTTGGCCGGGGTTAAGGGGATTTTTTATTTTTATGACTGTGGAATAGTAAATTTTAGTCATTTGTTCATCTATTTTTCAAAGTCGATCCGGGTTGGTCGGGGTAAAGGTTAAACAAATTGTTGATTGAAATAGGTAAAAATGAATTTTTCTTGTTTAATCATGTTTTTATTCAACAGCACATAAATATTTACAATTATTCATAGTTATTTACATTTTTTTGTAAGCGGTACATTACAAAATTATCAAATTATGTCTGTGATTTCGGTAAAAATCAAATCGATTGAATATGCGGACAAAGTGTTGCGGACAAGTACCGTGGAAATTACCTAAAAATTACGTTATTTGACGAAATTTTATGACGTATCGTTACAGATTTGCAAAAATCGCTGTTCTTCGCGCAAAGTTTTATAGAGTGTCATGTAGAACATCGTTTTTTAATTTATTAACAATTTTCCCTATTCACCCAAAATAATACCTTATTCTGAGATTTTAAACGTCTCAATAAAATAAGATTGTCAAAAGTAACAACTTGAAGCCTGAAAGTCTCAAATTGAGATTTTCGAAAGTGTCAAGTTGAAACTTTGGTTCTTAAGTTCTCAATTTCACCCTCGATTGGTCACCATATGAGGGAAACGCCGCAGCGTATTGTTTTTCGTTAATTCCTATGGACTGGATAACGAAAAAATTTGAAAAAAAATAGAACTTTTCAATTGAAGTGTATAACACATTGCCCTGGTTTTAAAACAAAAATAATTCCACAAAATTTCAAAAGAAAATAATTTATTTCCAACAGAATAATTTTCTTTTCCCACACGGAGAGAAATTTTTGATAAAAATTACCCTACCGTTCTGTAAAAGTGTATCATGAGTCATCGTTTCCTCATTTCTATCCCGAAATTTAGTAAAAATTGATATATGATGATCAAATTTTATTCTACGTTTGAGAAATTTTATCCTGCCGCATAACAAATTTTACCCTTCCAGTCCAATAATTTTTATGTAGATAAGAACGAAAATTCTAGAACGGTTGGAAAATTGTACCCTACCGGTACATTAATTTTTACTCTGCCGGCACAGTAATTTTTATTTTTATCAGAATAAAATTTCTCTAACGTAGAATAAAATTTGATCATCATATATTAATTTTTACTAAATTTCGGGATAGAAATGAGGAAACGATGACTCATGATACACTTTTATAGAACGGTAGGATAATTTTTAACAAAAATTTCTCTCCGTGCATGTGAAATTAAATGGCCCGTCAAGCAACGTTGCCAGAAACTCGTTAAACGCGCCCGGGCAGTATAGAGTAAATTCGACAACGTTCAAGCCTAAATAATGCGGCGGTACATTCTTGCGGAGGTGACTAAAGTCGCTGGATCGCGTAGGATTACCAGACTGGGATTAAGACTTTTAAGACTTTCGAAGGTTTGAATTTGAGACTTTCATAGGCTCAAGTTGATACCTCTGAATGCTTCAAGTTAGGACTTTTGGAACTCAATTTGAAACTTTTGTTGGAGTGGAGTTGTGAAAATCTCAGCTTGAGGCTTCTAAACTCTAAATTTGAGATGTTTAAAAGTATCAATTTGAGACTTTTAAAATCCTTTACTTGAAACTTCTGAAAGTCTCAACTTAACACTTTGAAAGTTTCCATTTGAAACGTTAAAATATCTCAATTTAAGATTCTCCAAAGTCTCAATTTGAGATTAAAAATCTAGAAATAAAGCTTGTTTTTTTGTGAGAACGTCAGATATTGATCAAAAGCAAACAAATTGAATTTATGAGATTATGTTCCACGCCACTTAGGCATCTTGTACATTTAAATTACAGGTAATGAAATCAGAACGTGATTACACTTAAAAATCGAAGTTTAATGACTTGGGTTATGGATGAAATTAAAGCGCGGACTTTTCTCGTGCTTCTCTTGGAGTTTGGAGTGCTGGGTCCGAGGTATTTTACGCGGGAATTGATGGGCGCAGGTGTTGAAATTAAAGTTTGGCTTGAATATTAGAATTTTGAGTGATTCTCGGTATTAAACGCCCCGAGATTTAAACTAATGAGGTAATTATATAATAACTTGGGTGAGAGGGAGAAGGGGAGCTGTGTTGGCAACTGCCACGGAAATCCTTCCCACACTAACTCTACAATTTATTCTCACTCATTGTGTCCCACTTTGCGCCTTCTTATTCGCCAATTTTGAAACGTTTAAACTTTGG